GATTGTGATGTGAGATTATGCTTGTGGTAGCAAAGATCTACAAAGATTCAAAGAACTCGATGCATGCATGTAGGTGAATCTTGGAATGTATGGTGATTTTGAGCTATACAAGCAATGGGTAAGCATTTTAGTCTTAAAATCACAAGTAAACAAGGAAAATGAGATGTGTATTAATTGTCTATGCTTATGGCAACAATGGTGACCGAAGATGTGAGGGAATTGTGAATTGTCGGTGGAATTCAAGCTAAAACCAAGAGGTAAGCACGCAAATTGACTACATTGTGTTGTGTTGGCTTTGGTTGGTTAAAGTATATAAATTGTATGTTAAATGATTCTGAATAATGTTGATAAAAACTATGAAATTAGGTTAAGGAATTGTTGATTGATGTGCTGCCTGTATGTGAGTACAATTAAATGTATTTGGTTTGAATTGTTGTTAGAAAGTGTGAGAAAGAGAAGTTTGTTGTGGTGGCGTGCCGGAAGAGGTCACAGGTGACCAGCAAGTAGAATTAGCTAGATATGCACTCGAATCAATAGTAATATAGTGTCCCGCTATTGTAAGGTGAATAAAGGGTGTCTATTTCAAAATTTCTATACTATAGATGTTGATATATGATTAATAGATGTGTCGATTTACTTTAAATGCAATTAGTGGACAGCATGAGTTGGCAGAACGTTAGGCTTGTGGATGACATGTTTTTAAAGAAGTTTTGTGTGTGTGTGTGTGTATGTATGTATCAGAGCCAACACCGGATTAGAGTATTACTTTTAAACTCAAGTATTTTGAAATACTGTTTCTTTTCTGAGTTTTGGTTTTAGTTGTTTATGGTGTGCTGATTCTTGCTGAGTCCTTAGAAAACTAGTCTGTTAAAGCCAAGGGCTAAGCACTGTTAAGATATATTTCCCTCTGTAGGCAAAATCACCACGAAAACTCAAAACAATAGAAAGCCCCCCATGTAGGAGAAGAAACCTGTTATTTCAAAATGCTACCTTTTTTTAAGAAATACTTCTTATTCTAGTTTCAGTTCTAACTAAACTCAAACGATCAACAAGGAAAACATACATTATTAAAATATAAGTCAAGAAATAAATAATTGGGAGATACCTAGAGTCCCTCAAAATCAAATTTACAAATCCTCAACATTTCATGCATTACATCTAAATTCTTTTTGTGGATATTTAATCAAAACCAAAGAAAAAGGAATATCTATCCAAAATCAGTATGAAAACATCCAACTCTTGGATCAAGAGACAATTAATAAACTCAAAACTCAAAAATATAATTACATCTATTTTGAATTAATACAGGTAGGAGCCAAACCTCTAAAAAAAAAAGGGTTAGATACCTCAATACTTATAGTATTAAGAGATAAAAGACATATTCACTTTAATGATTCTCTATTAGGAACAATAGAAATAAGCTTCTGTAGAAGACCAATACATTTCAATTGCTTTCTAAATTTTATGATCTCTTTAAAAGACAGAAATATTTTAAATTCATTAACCTTACAAATTCAAACACATAATTATTAAATGATTCCAAGATCTGAACCATTAACTGTGGTTTATAGGTTATATTATAAGGCAATGTACTCAGTAATAAACATTATGGCTTTAATCCATAGTCCAAAAAGAGAAACATTATTAATACAAACAGATATGACTAGGTCTCATACAGTGATACGTAGGACTATTCAATGGCATGAAGTTCAACTTCCAAATAGGTGAAAAATAAGAGTAACTATTCTTGTTCTTGTACAAAATACTAAAATAAATTATGTAGCAAAATACAGGGATGGTTCAGTAGAACTTGTCTTCAATAGATCATCAAGAATACCTTCTAGACGATCTTTTGATATAAATTTAACCATCAATATAGAAGCCTCATCTACCATAGGTACAGACTTTAGGACAACTAGAGTTTCTGTATCCTCAATACCTTCTGTTAGAACAAACTTGCAAAGTAGAAATAACTTTTCAGAAATACCACAACCTATTTGCAATAGACAAGAAAATACACCTTCAAATTCTTCCAACTTACTCATCCATGACAAATAACCTCATATTTTCTATCATCGAACTTATCCCACTATTTTGTTTTGAAAGTCCGAATAACCATCGGGGCTCCGGAGTGAGGATCGGTGTCATAGGAATAATCCTATGACGTAATCCATGATATAATTAATTTGGAAAAAAAGTATATAGAACATGTAAATTTACCCAATCTTTTTTAGGTTGAAAATTTTGAGAAAATTTTTCATATAATTAATCAATTTTTGGTGGAAGGATTTCTCTTAAAGGTCCAAACTAATTCCACCAACGAGAAAGTCAAATTGAGAATTGGTATTGATTTCCAAATTCGAAAAACATTAACCAGGAGTGCTTGTTATGTTTGTTATTGAAAAGAAATATGTTGAACCATACCTGTTGGTAATTCCAACAATTAAAAACGAGGCAATGGTCAATTATTTTTGAGAAATTATCTGAAATTTTTTTAAAAAGGTTTAAATTTTCTCCCTAGTCTATAGGACTTAAAACTTTTAAAATTTGAGCTGTAGAATGGCTAATTAGAGTAGGATCATTCTAGTCTGTATAGTGTTTGAAAAGAACAGATCCTGTTTGAATCAAAATATTTTGATAATAATTTTGAGGCTTCTGTAGGTCCCATGGCTTGTAATGGCATCTTTGGAAAGCCCACCAAGAATACCTTCTAGACGATCTTTTGATACAAATTTAACCATCAATATAGAAGCCCCCATCTACCACAGGTACAAACTTTAGGATAGCTAGAGCTTCTGTATCCTCAGTACCTTATATTAGAACAAACTTGCAAAGTATAAATAACTCTTCAGAAATACCACAATCTGTTTACAATAAACAAGAAAATACACTTTCAAATTCCCCGAATATGTCTCCAACTTACTCCTCCATGACAAATAACCCACACTTACCTACAAACCAAGAAAATGATCCAAAAATATTTGTATTAGAAAAAGAATTTGAAATTGATAAAGAATGGTGTAGGAAACATTTCTACTTTGATAAAAATAAACAAAAAAGAAAAAATTATTTTAAAAAATATGACCAACAAAAAGATGAAATTTTAAAAGAATATCATAATTTCATGGAAAAACATAAAATTTTAATTGAATTCTTTGAATGGTTTGAAAATTATGGTGAACTGCAAATAAATACTCCAAAGAACACAAATAAATGGCAAACAAATAAAGGTGAAATAGAAACCCAATATCCTCCTCTCACAGAATTACAATACTCACATTAAAATATAAATATAAGGGCATAGACCTAGGAGAACCTATTACCTCAAAAGACATAAAAATGATAGTTGAACAAAACAATTATACGAATTTAAATTTACATACTAGTTTAGAACAACTAGAGAATATAAAAACATTAATCCAAAATCAACCCCAATCTCAAAACACACAACCCAGAAAAAGCAGATATAACAAAACCTGTATTTGTACCTTTTGAAATCCCAAGAAAATACCAACAAACTAAACAAAATCAATTTTTAAGAGAAATACAAGACAGAATTGATGCTTTAGAAAGCCAAAACTTAGGAATAATAGCAGATACTCTCCACAGACAAAATCACATGGTCAATACTATTAATGATGATTCTGATTCATCCCAAGACAGTA